TTTTGAGATGGAGTCTCACTCTGTCGCCCAGGCTGGAGGGCAATGGTGTGATCTCAGCTCATCAAAACCTCCCATCTCCCAGGTTCAAGTGATTCTCCTGCCTCAGCCTCCCAAATAGCTGGGATTACAGGCACCCACCACCACGCCTGGATAATTTTTGTATTTTTAGTAGAGACGGGGTTTCACCATGTTGGCCAGGCTGGTCTCGAACTCCTGACCTCAGGTGATCCTGACCCGCCTCGGCCTCCCAAAGTGCTGGGATTACAGGCGTGAGCCACCGCACCCACTGGATAGCTTTCTTAAATCCAACCTTTCACGTTTATTGCTGTAAATGTGACTTTTAAACTTTTCCCCCAGTTTATTTGGAATTTTAAAAATTCCATAGCAATGGGTAAGAAGGTTTAAAGGCTGGAGCCGGCAGCCTCAGGATGCGTCTCAGAGAAGAGCTGGCGGCCTTGGCTCTTCCCGCCGCCCCAGCCTCCCTCCTTGGTTCGTGACCTCATTTCCCTCACAGACATCCGCTGGCCACCCCTGGCTTCTGGTGTCCGTGAAGGTCCATCCAGCTTAGGCTGGCTCTCAGGGACCTCGTGGGACAGTCTTAGTTCCGTTCTCACCAAGCGGTACTCAGGGCCTCCTAGTGTTGCCGACACCAGGGGCAGCCTTTTCCTGGCTCTGTTCTCTCAGCATTTCCTCCCTGGGATATGAGCCTCTAACCCAGGCAGACCAGCCTCGGCATAGCTCGAAGGGTAAGAGCGGGAGCTTCGGGGTCTGACAGCCTGGAGTCATGAGACCTTCGGCAAATGACTTCCCCGCTCTGAGCAGCCCTCAGGGACACTCTCACAGTATCCTCATGGGGAATATGGGGTGGGTGTGGGCACACCCACTGAGCGTGGCAGCTGGCACACACTGGCACTGTGCACATGGTAGCCGCTGCTGGGCCCACTGCTCGGGGGCCAGGCTCTGGTCAGCCCAGGACGGCCTCTGCCTGTCCGTGCCCTCCTGCCTGTTGTTTGCTCTGTGTCTGAACTGACCTCTCACCTATATCTCCCCTGCCGGACTGAGGACTGAGATGCTGCTTCCTGTTGCCGGATAGACTAAGGATTTAAGAGCCGGGAGATCCTGGGCAGGGGCCATCGGTGGGCCGTCCAGGGGCCCGCACCCTGGAGCGGGGGGCCCAGAAAGCAGTCAGTCAGGGAAGGGGGAAGCTCAGGAATTTAGAGGGAACCTCAAGCCAGGTACTCCTTGGCCCCCTCAAGCATCATCTTGGAGGCCCCCTCCCTTTGTCTCCCGGGGTATGGGGAGACTCCTCTTTGACTTGGGGGAGCCTGAGAGAGCCACAGCACCCTCTTTTCTCCCTGATTCCTCTGTGAAGATCTTGTGCGTCTTCTGTGAGCGAGGCTGAACAGGGTTCCTCCGCCCTGGCCCTGGGTCTCCTCCTAAGCAGCCCTGTTCCTGTTCTGGGCACTCACTGGCCACACCAACTCTTGCCTGTCTTCTCTGTTCACCTTCTCTGTCTGGCCTGGGCTGGGCCACTTCTGGCCGCCCCTGAGGAGGCATCCATTTCATAAACAGGTGCAGGTGAGGAGCAGAGCAGGCTGGCCTGGTGTCAAGCTCTAGGCTGGGAGCAGAGGACCGCCCCACGCCTTGGCACTTCCTGGGCGCTTAATCTGTTTGTCTCTCTCCTAGCCCACAGTGGCCCAGGTGGGAGCAGAGGGAGGGGAACAGCTTGGGTGTGTCTGTGTTTGGGCATCTGCTGGAGCGGTGACGGTGACGGTGGTGCTGCTGTTTACTGTCAACAGAGCTTCTGGGCTCACCAAGGGCTTCGTTCCCTCCAGCAGCAGGGAGACGCTCCCCAAGCAGAAGGGGAAGCCGCTCACCTCCCCCGCCCCAGGCACATCTGTTGCTGGACAGGACTGCCTGGAGGCAAGCGGCCGGGCAGAGGGCCTGGTGGCCCCAGCGGCAGGGATTTGTTTAAGGGGAGAAGGCTGGTGGTCTAGAGTGCAAGGTCCTTGCCCCGTGTGTCGTGGCTGCAGGGTAAAAGATGGGAAGGACAGATACCGTTGCCTCTCCCCTGACCTTGCCTCTCCCCCATGTAGTTAAAGGGGTGGCCAGATCTCTAATCAATTTAAGACTTTTTGGTTGTTGTTTGTTTGTTTGGAGACAGAGTCTCACTCTGTGGCCTGGGCTGGACTGCAGTGGCACGATCTCGGCTCACCGCAACCTCCGCCTCCCGGGTTCAAGCGATTCTCCTGCCTCAGCCTACCGAGTACCTGAGATTACAGGCGTCCACCACCACGCCCGGCTAATTTTTGTATTTTTAGTAGAGACGGGGTTTCACCGTGTTGGCCAGGCTGGTCTCAAACTCCTGACCTCAGGTGATCCACACGCCTCAGCCTCCCAAAAGGCTGGGATTACAGACTGAGCCACTCCGCCCGGCCTGATTTTGTTTTTTTGTTTGTTTGTTGTTGTTGTTGTTGTTGTTTTGAGACAGAGTCTCACTCTTTTGCCCAGGCTGGAGTGCAATGGTGTGATCTTGGCTCACTGCAACCTCTATCCCCCAGGTTCAATGATTCTCTTGCCTCAGCCTCCTGAGTAGCTGGGATGACAGGTGAGCACCACCACGCCCGGCTAATTTTTGTATTTTTAGTAGAGACGGGGCTTCACCATGTTGGCCAGGCTGGTCTTGAACTCCTGACCTCAGGTGATCCACCCGCCTCTGCCTCCCAAAGTGTTGGGATTACAGGCGTGAGCCACCGCACCTGGCCCTGTTGTTTCTATTCATTCCGTAAACAGCTATTGTAGGCCAAGACCTGGGTGAGATGCTGGGGACACAGAAGTGACCACAATGCAGACCCTGCCTCTCAGGGCTCACAGCCCAGTGGGGGATTAGACGTGGCTTTGCGCTTCCACACACGCTTTCGGGACTGTGCTCCCCGTGTACAGCCACTGCATCCGGCTCTGTGCCAGCTGGTCGTGCCCTGATTCCCATCCGGAGCCTCCGGTGGCAGCCATGATCATCATAGCCACGAGAACAGCAGCAGCTGGCAGCGATTCACTATTGAGCGCTTTCTATGCCTGGGTGAGCTCCAGAAAGTTGTCTGGATTTTCTCATTGATCTTCCCCCAAACTCTAGGAGGTGGATCTTATGATTCTAGGATGTCCATTTTATAGACAAGGAAACTGAGCTAGAGCAAGGTGATGCAGGTAGAAAGTGGAGGAACCAAAACAGGAAGCTCGAAGCCAGATTCCAGTTCCACGCTCGTCATCCACACGGCCCCGGCGAGCCTCCCTGGTCACACGTTGGCATGAGGCATGATTCCACCCGTGTGCATCCAGTGACCTTGGAGGAGCCCCGAGAAGCCTGAGCAAGCCTTTGCAAACCTCAGCTCTACAGCCCTGGCGCCAGAGGGCTGCAACTGGAAGGCAGGCAGTTATCGGAAGAAAAGCGTTTCCTTGACTCTCCCAGTGTGACCTCGCGTCTAATCAAAGTCGGCTCCTGTTTTCTGCAGGATTAGTCAGCATCTCTTAACTAGCAGTCCCGGCCAGGAGAGCTCCTCAGCCACGTTCCCAGCCCGTCCTCCACCCTCCCGTCTTCAGCTGCCACAGCACTTTTCTCTGCCTTTTTGTGTTGTTTTGGTGCTGGGTGGACTTTGGAGGGGGCCATTAAGGGCTGGGTGTGGCAGACACACCAGACGCAGCACCCAGTGAGGTCACGGGATGGCATCACAATGACCCCGGCAAGGAAAATAAGAAAGGTGCATCTCGGCCGGGCGCGGCAGCTCACACCTGTAATCCCAGCACTTTGGGAGGCAGAGGTGGGGGGATCACCTGAGGTCCGGAGTTTGAGACCAGCCTGGGCAACATGGTGAAACCCCATCTCTACTACAAATACAAATTAGCCAGGTGTGGTGGCAAGTGCCTGTAATCTCAGCTACTCGGGAGGCTGAGCAGGAGAATTGCTTGAACCCCAGGAGGCGGAGGTTACAGGTGAGCCAACGATCATGCTACTACCTCCAGCCTGGGCAACAGAGTGAGACTCCGTCTCAAAAAAAAAAAAGAGGCATGGGCACGAGATGGTTTCATGCCTTAATTCCCAGCACTTTGGGAGGCCGAGGCAGGCAGATCACGAGGTCAGGAGATCGAGACCATCCTGGCTAACACTGTGAAACCCCATCTCTACTAAAAATACAAAAAAATTAGCTGGGCGTGGTGTCGGGCGCCTGTAGTCCCAGCTACTCGGGAGGCTGAGGCAAGAGAATTGCTTGAACCCAGGAGGCGGAGGTTGCAGTGAGCCGAGGTCATGCTACTACACTCCAGCCTGGGCAACAGAGTGAGACTCCGTCTCAAAAAAAAAAGAAAAGACAAAAAAAGAAAGCCAAAGAAAATATCAGGGGGAGAAAGTGAGAAAGTGGCATCCGTCCCACGTTTGAGAAGGCAGCTGGATTTCCCATCGAAGGAGGCGCCCCGGTCTCCGCACACTGACAGATGAGAACTAGGCTATCGGGGTGAGGCCGGTGCTTCTCCTTCCCAAGTGGTCTGGGGTCTGCCTCCATGCTGGCTTCAGTCTGTCCCCGTGGACACAGCTGCCGTGAGCCGGTTCTCACCAGCCTGGGGCCGCACAGCCAGGGCGGGACCCTGAGGTCTGCTGTTCTGTGGTGGCGGATGGGACTCTCAGCCTGGGCTTCGTTGCTCTTCAAGGGACACGTGAAGCTCCTGAAACTGTGGATAAACCTTGGTGTGCATTTTCTGGGGAGGTCTTTATTGGATTCTTAAAAGGGTCCACAAAAGTTACCCCTCAAAAGTTAAGAACCTGTTTTCACTCCAGGGGACTTGAGCCAAATGGCCATCCAAGCCCGCTGTGGGGTAGCCTGAGCCCTCGAGAGGCCCCCAGCCAGCCCTGGCATTCCCAGTGGGGCACTCCGAATGGGCACCTGCCCCTCTGATCTTTGGGAATCCCTGTCTTGACCCCGAGGTCAGGGTTTCCTTCGCTCTTCACACAGAGAATGTCACCAATGGCACAGTGGGCAGCACAGCAGAGCCGGGGCACGCGGAGGTGAGCTGGATGAGCGGCTGGCTCAGCTGCCAGGCCCAGGACGAGATGCTAAATTTGGCCTTCACCGTGGGCTCCTTTCTGCTCAGTGCCATCACCCTGCCCCTGGGGATCGTCATGGACAAGTATGGCCCGAGGAAGCTCAGGCTGCTGGGCAGGTCAGTGCGGGTCCCTTGGGGGGCAGGGAGTGGGCAGGTGGACCCCCTGGGCTGAGTTCCCCATGGAAGGGTATCCTGGTCATACCTGCTATCAGGTGTACTGTGGAGCTCCCTGAAGGCCCATCCAGAATGGAGTTCGTTCCCCATCCGCCACCGAATCAGCAGGTACTGTGGTCCTCGCCACGCTCCAGTACTCAATAAGAAAAGCACCAGGCTCCAGGCCGCCCGGGGGATCTGGAGTTGCTTGTCACTAAGAACATGGGTTTCTGATCCCTTTGTAGTTCATAAGCGTAATAATTGGGGTTTCACGCTCATGTGTGAGACATGCTTCCCTCAGACCTTCTTACAAGGCTGGCACAGTATTCATCTGATGAGAAAAAAACAAAACAAAATACTGGTTTCCACAGCCTGTTTGACCTTATACCTCCACCAGAAAAAAGATTTTCAACACGTACCCCCAATATAATAAGCACATCGAATTCTAAATGATGTATATCTGTGCCTTTTTTTTCTTTTTTTTTTCCAAGACAGAGTCTTGCTCTGGTCACCCAGGCTGGAGTGTAGTGGCACGTCTTGGCTCACCGCAACCTCTGCCTCCCAGTTCAAGCATTCTCCTGTCTCACCCTCTCGAGTAGCTGGGCATTACAGGGTGCCTGCCACCATTACCTAGCTAATTTTTGTATTTTTAGTAGAGACCAGGGTTTTG